TTTTTTTAATATATATACAGCAATGAGAAGGAATAAACTACCACACACAGCCATAAGCTTGAACCTCCAGATATACTGCTGGGCAAAGAAGCCAGACACAAGGGCACTTCCTACAGAATCCCCTTTCTAAGGTCAAGACCAGGCAGACTGAACTGCAGCAGCTACCTCTGCCTCAGGGAGGCATTTTGGGGGGGGAATGCACATGAGAAAGCCAGTGCTGCAATGCTCTCTGTGTTTGTGTGGGTTGAGTTTTTGAAAGTGTATGTGTGTGTGTGTGTGTGTGTATGTGTGACACATATGTGTATTCGTCAGTTTTCCCCATTGCTGGTACAAAATACTAGACAACCGCAGTTTTAAAAAGGAGAGTTTCAATCTGGCTCACAGTTTCTAAGGATTCAGTCCATGGCTGGCTGGCCCCAAGACAGAAACATCATGGTAGAAAAATGTGGTAGAACAAAACTTCATGTTTTTTTGGTACTGGGGATCAAACTTAGGACCTTGTGTTTGTAAGGCAGGTGCAGCACCACTGAGCTAAATCCCTGGCCCAGAACAAAACTTCTTAATTCATGATCGCTAAGAAGCAGAGCACAGAAGAGCACCACCCAGAGGTAATATGCTCCACGGGCACAGCCCTGTGACCCCCGACAACTGGGCCCCACCTCTAACCAGGCCCCACCTCCTAACAGCACATTCAGCTGTGGACATCAGTGGATGAATCCACTCAGAGTGCAGCACCCCCATGATCCAGTTGGCTCTCCAGGAGTCTCTAAATCCAGCCAGGTTGACCGTTATGGTTAACTGGCACAGCCAGGCATGATGGAACACACCTGTAACCCCAGCACTCTGGGAGTCTGAGGGCGGAGGATGGAAAGTTTGAACCCAGCATTCGATCTAATGACTCTGTGGAACTCTGTCTCAAAATAAGCAAACAAACAAAGGGCTGGGATATAGCTCAGTGCCAAGTCCCTGGGTTCAATCCCCAGTTCTGCAAAAAACTTAGCCGGTGCAATATGGAAAACTCCATCTGGCTATAAATTCAAGGTTTGTAAACTTCATTTTATGTTATATCCACCCACTCACAAAAAAGAAGACAGAAAGTATTAGGTAGTTCAGTTTGTTTTCTATTTCTAATTCATTAAAAAAGGAGCTGGCTGGCTCAAGTCTGTCTTTCTCTACACGAACGCCCTTTGCTCACACTTGGTCCAACCAGAGCACAGCTCCTTGAAGTCTGCTAACTCAGACACAGCTGCCCGTGCGCATGCACGTTGTTCATGTCCAGGTAGTGGACAAATCCCAGGGGCCAGGGGTGTGTGTGAGAAACTCCCGCTTCACACTGTGCCACCTGCGGAGAGTTAACCTCAACAAGGCCCACTGTGGGCCAGGCACCGTTCTGGTGACCAGGGATGTGGTAATGAAACGCCACGATCCCTGCTGTCATGGATGGACGGCGCGTCCTAGGGATGTCAGTCAAGGCTAGACGCGGTAGCCAGGGAGTGATGGAGGACGGATCCCTTCGGAGCTGCTCAGGGACGCTGGGCAAGCACCCTGCTCACCTCACATTTTCAGGGCTGCCCCTCTCTGTGGGGCCGGATGCACAAACAGCTCTGCTGACCATGGCTGGGCTACAAATCAACACTTGCACACCACTTGGTCTTAATCCTGTGTCACCAGAGCAGGCAGGGACAATCCCTGACCTGAGGTCACTGGAAAGGCAAACCTGGTGACGTTTATGAGCTCCAAAGTGACAAATTTTGATCCCTGGTCACACTGCCTCTTCTCCATGCTGCTCTGGGTGGGTCCCTTAACCTCCCAGGCCTCCTGGCTTCTCAGCTGTAAAGGAGACGGGTGTGTCTCTCCAACACCCATGAATGGATTGAACCAAAGAGACCGGCATGTCTGAGCCTCTCCCCGAGGTTGTGAAACACACAGGAGGGTATTGGGGTTAATTGGAGAGACACACGTACGTATTCAAATTGGGTCATTCGCCACCTCCTACTCCATTCTAAAGTATGTGGGTCTCCATTTCCTCAGCCTTCCAAAGCTCTTCAAACTCCTACACCCTCTGCCAAACCGGGACCCTTCCCACCTTCAAAACCCGAGACACAGCTTACTCAGCAAGTGTCCCGGGAGGTACCTGCCCGGCTCCCAGCAGACCCCTCGACTCACACCCCCACATCCCTGCGCTGGCAGAAAGCTCCCCCTGCGCTGAACTCTGTCACCTTCGAGCAGGGGCCATCTCAGAACCAGCTGAGCATGCAGACACCAGCCACACTGCAGCCCTTCCTTCAGGACCTGCAGAAGCCATACGGCTCCGTACCCGCCGGGTCTTTGCCTGCCCCGCAGTGCATGCTGCTCAGCCTCTGCCCTGGGAAGGAGCCAGGTGAGCCCTGAGACATCCACAGGAAATGGCTCAAACACCACTTCCTCCACAAAGCCTTCCTCATTCCACTCTGGCAGGCAATCCAGCCCTTCTTCAGAGCCCAGCTGAGGAAGAGCAGGTGGCTTCACGCTGGTCTCCAGTGAGCTCAGAGTCCTGAGGCAGGGCAGGTGTGCTGCTGTTCCTGCTGGACTCACAGCACTTCGGTCAGTGCCTGGTGCAGAGAAGTGCCATAAACGGATGGACGGATGGATGTGTGGATGGACGGGTGGATGGATGGATGGATGCAACTCCTCCCCACCATGCCCTGCTCCAGCACAAATCTGTCCACAGAACACCCTCAGAGGGCCAATGAGGACAGACAAAGCTGTTTCTAACTGCGACATATTTCTTTTTTTTTTTTTTTTTGGTAACAGGGATTGAACTTGGGTCCTTGTGCTTGTGCAGCAGGCAGGAAACTACTGAGCTAAATCCCAGGCCCTCTTCGAGATATTTCTTATTTACTTCATATTTGTGACTTCTCTTCCTGGGTTCAGCTGAGCCACAATCTCCCTGTTTCCTGTACATTTTGAACCTTCACTGCCCCTCCCCAAGGAACAGGCTCCCCAGGAAGAGGCCAACACCCCACAGGGTTCCGGGGTGGGGAGCCTGGGGCTGGTCCGCCGCAGCTGCAGGCTAATATCCCCTCCCTCGAGTGCTGTCCCTGAAGGACACCGGGCAATGGCCCTGCTCGGGCGCCCACTCCAGCTCCAGGGAGCAGCCCCCAACCGTGGCTGAGAGCCAGCCTTGTCCCCTCTGTGTCCCCGCACTTTGCCTGGCCCTGGTGGATGAGGTCCCTGTGAAGGCCTCAGGCAGTAGCCCAGGCCTGTGGGGCGCTGTAGTGTGGGCACGGAGTGCCCTGCAGGCTGCAGTCCCAGCATTGTGATAATACAGTGATGCCACAGAGTGGGCGGTTCAAAGAGACGGCCACCCTGGGGCCTGAGGCCCAGGAGAGGAGCAGTGCCGGGTTGCGGCCACAGAGGGCTGTGTGAGTATCGACGCCTGGGAGTCAGGCCAGCAGACAGGACTGCTGCCCTCAAGCTGGGCAACTTTGGGCAAGTTACCTAACCACGCTGCACCTGCTCCATGTCCCAGAGCTGCTGGGAGGAGTTCACGAGTGAGCCTGGGGAAAGTGCTCGGCAGAGGTGTAGAGGTGTAGGTGAAGCGCGCGTTCAATAGCACCGTCATTCCATCTTCAAAGTGGACTACACGCATGAGTTAAAGGCTCTGTGTTAGGCACGCGGAATATGAGTGGAAGCAAAATGGACCAAAGCCTCTCCTCTTTGGCTGCCTTCATTCCGGAAGGGGAGAGCAGAATCCAGGGGGCGCAGTGTTGATACATTTGGGGAGGAGGAGGAAGAACAAAGGGCCAGGTGCTGGGGCCAGGAAGGTCTTGGTCAGGGAGAGGAGCAGAGCCAGAGGACTTGGAAGGCCCTAAAGTTGGCTGTTGGGAGGACAGTGGTCCAAACAGAGGGACACAGCTGGGCATGGTGGTGCAGGCCTCTATCCCAGCCCTCAGAGGCTGAGGCAGAAAGATCACCCTGAGTTCCAGGCCAGCCTGGGCCGCATAATGAGATCCTGTCTCGAAAAAAACCAAAACAAAATAAAAACAAAGAGAGGGACAGCAGGGCCTGTGCTGTGTGGCTGTCAATAAATCTGCAGCTGCCCCGCTGAGAAGTTTCAGTGAGGATGACATGAGGTGACAAATGGGCACCACATTTGAAACACCAAAAGCTGTGAGGCGCTGTCGGTCACCAGAGAGAGCGGTTGGGGTCCAGGAGCTCAAACTAGTGTGTGGAGGCCGCACGCAGCCTGCCCCTTCTTGCTGGAGCACCTCAGCTAGCAACGCTAAGAGCTGTCATCACTTGTGCCAGGCACTTGATGACATAACCTTGGCAGGCAGACGAGGGAGGGACCCTCGGGAAGTTCACAGGGTAAGGAGGGAGAAAGCCAGGCCCTGCCCCAAGTGGAGGTGCCACATTTCCCAAAAGCCAACAAACACAAGCAGAACTAGGTTAAATCTGAACCTCAGATAAATAACCAGGGCCCTGGCCTGGGGTGGGCGGGGCTCACCCAGCAAGCAGGCTGTGGGTCCCCCTCTGGGTCCTGAGCTTCCAGACCCCCAACCTGGGGAGAGGGTCCTCAGGCAGAGTGCACCCGCACCACCTCCAACCCTGCTCCCTGTCTGCCCTGGGCCCCCCGCCTCAGCTCAGGGTTTGTCTTCTCCAGGGGGCCGAGGGTGTCGCCCCAGGATATGTGAGAGAGATGGCCAGCTCCAAGGGCTGCTGGGAGCTGGGGAGCCCCCTGACCGGGGAGAACCTTAACTCCCTTTGGAGGAGCTTGTCCCCAAGACTGAGGGGCCCTGAACACTGAGCCTTGGGCTGCAGCTAGGGCTCTGTCCCCTTCCTGCCCCATGGAAAGTGCCCGGAGCAGCACCTGCACAGGTGAGCTGCTGTCGTCACCGTCCTGCATCCAGAGGTCACACGCTGCCTGGTCCCTGTTTCTCTGCCGGTGCCCAGCGACCTCCTCACTCACAGGGCTGTGTCCACTCATCTTGGTCATCTCTGTGTCTGGCAGAGACAGACAGGCGCTCACTCCAGGGTACCAGGCCCAGGGGACCCATGGGTGTCTTCAGCTACCCTTGCTCTGGGCACCTGCATATCCATTCTTCCATGCCTGAGCACATGGGGTCCCGATCAGGCGTCGCTGGCCAGCTCTGTGATCCCAGCACTCGGGAGGCTGAGGCAGGAGAACTTCGAGTTCAAGCCCAGCCTGGGCAATTCAGCAACTTAGTGAGACCCTGTCTCGAAATAAAAACTAAAAATGGAAGACGTTGGGGATGTAGCTCAATGCAGAGGCCTTGGGTTTGAACCTCAGAACCACAAAAAACAAACAAACAAAAAAACAGAAATAAAGCATCACTGACTCTCGAGTCCCTCAGACTCCAGACGCCTCCACTTGGGGCCCTGATGCCCCCTGTGTCACCAGCCTCCTCCTTGGCACCTGGGTCATCGTGCATCACAGATTTAAAATCTCTTTTCACCCTTTAAAAAAAATAAATAAAGAGTAAAATAAAAGATAAATAATAGGAAACAGGGAAGGAAGCTCGGCGCAGTGGTGCACCCCTGTGATCCCAGCATTTGGGAGGCTGAGGCAGGAGGATCATCATGTGTTTGAGCCCAGCCTGGGCTACAGAGTGAGTTCAAGGCCAGGCTGGAATACATAATGAGACCCTGTCTCAACAGAAAGAAAGAAAGAAAGAGAGAGAGAGAGAGAGAGAGAGAGAGAGAGAGAG